TCGAAGTCTGGAGTCATAGGGAACCGTGGAAGGAAACACCTCCCCCACAGTCCGTGTTGTTAGTCATCCCACAGGTACCAGAGTGGATGGGCCCCGGGGTGGCGGGGGCCGCAGACAAGCCCCCCAACCCGGAGTGAACAGAGGAGTGAATGGAGGGGGCCCGGGCGCGGGCAGGTCCTCAGCAGAGCGCACCGCTGTTCTCAGCACGATCCTCCTCTTGACTCACTGCTGGGAGGGAGGCAAGTCCTGCCCTGGTCCACCCCACTGAGGCTTGTGTAAAACCTCACTCTTCTGTAAAAGAAAGTCAAAAGCAAAGGGGATGAAAAGCTATCCGTTACCTACGGCAGATACACCACGACCAGCTACGCCCTTTCTTCACCTCCGAAAGCGATGCTGCACTGACGGAGAGACACGGAAGCCGACACTGAACTTGCGGGGGTGAGGGACCAGGCGGGGGCTCCCCATGCCCAGTGGGCTCAGCGTCGGGGAGATGGGGGGGCGGCTGGGCAGTGCCCGGGCCTGGCCCACACCAGCTGCCGAGGCCGCAGCCACAGTCCCCATTCAGCCCAGGCGCTGGCGGGTGCGTCAAACATGACTTATACTATTTCTGTATCAAAAACCATTTGAAATGCCATGAGTTCCCAACAGAGAAGCTGCTAGGGCTTCTGACCCAAAGCGCCCAGAAGAAACAATAAAACCTTCTCTACTTAGAGAATGCAGCATCAAAACAAAAAGCCTCTGATTCTCCTGATGCTTTATGGCAGAGGAGGAAACGGCTCTATAGGCTGTGCCCCGAGAAGCGTGTTGGTACAAGCAGACTCGTGACGTCAGTAGAAGCACAAAGACTGTATTCAGAGTTCAGTAAGAAGTGGCGAGCTTGGGTTGTGACTTCGAGTTCTCAGTCAGAAATAGAAAGAAATCTGCTGGTCTATTTTTTTAAGTGAACGATCAGAGCAAAGGACGCTGTAGTTTTCCATGACATGGGTTAGGTCCTCTTTACAACACCGTTTCACGTCATCACGTAGATGTGAAGTAAAGAGAAGGGCTATTCTTTAGAAAATGTGGCCAAAGTTTAGGGTCTGTTCAAGTAAAGAAGGGCTCATTCAAATCCAAGGGAAAATAATAGATATTTCAGCTATGTAACCATGGTTTCCTCTCACACTGACATCTGCCTGTGTGCGAGGGCGGAGGGAGGGAGACTGGGGGGGAGGGGAGGGGCAGGGGTGAGAAACCCCTCAAAACACGGCCATCTTGATGGTGAGGTGCTGCACCCCTGGACACACACACACACACACACTGAGGTGAAGAGTGAGGAGCGACCACCTGCATGTCCACGCCCCCCTCGCCAAACAGAGCATTGTGCTCCGAGCCCCCATCACGTGCCCGCGCCCCCGACAACGTCTGATCTGTTAGGCACCCTGCTTTCCTTACGGTTACAGTGTCCACGAGTGAGGCCCTCAGCCTGTGTTCTGTAAGTGACAGCAGTGAGGACAGAGCAGTGCAACCAGAGGGTGACAAGGGTTCCCAGGAAAAGACAGTCTCAAGTCCAGGCTGCCTTCAGCTTCTGGGACAATTGACAAAGACAGCTTCTCCCTGGGTGAGGTCAAGAGTGACCCAGGGGACCCAAGGGCCACCCCCCACAGCACCTGGTAGGCGTCACGTGGACCAGAGCCAACCTGCCTTCTGCGTCCGCTCCACCTCCAGGTGTGAGCCCCACGGGGGGTCCCGCGTCCCCAGGTGAGTGAGGCCGGAGGGCGGGAGAGTCCGGGCAGGCCCGCCCTCGCCTTGCACAGCCCCGCCCCGGAAGCTGCGGAGTGAGGCGGCCCCGCACCTCGCGCGCAGCCGCTGTCCCTGCCGCCTGCCCCTTCCAGGAGCCCCATGCACCTCTGTCCTGGAGCAGGTGCCGTTCCTCTGTCCCACTCTTTCTGCGGGAACTCGGGCTCCAAGTGTGTCTTGAACAAGAAGCCGTGAGAGGTAGGTTTTGTGAGTAAAGATGTCTTTATCTCTCCCTCACCGTGTCGTTATTCTGGCTGCGTACAGAATCCCCGAGCGCAGCGGCTCTGGCCCGCCGCCCCCTCGTGCCCAATGCTGCCCTTAACGAAGCCGAAGCCCCTCTGACTCCGCGTCCCTCGCCCGAGCCCGGCCTTTCCCTCCGTCCCAGCGCCCCGAGATCAGAGGCAGAGGGCTGGGGGCGGACCTTTCTTTCCCGCAGCGGCCTGGCCGCCCGGTCAGCGTGGCAGCTCAGGCCCTGCAGCTGCGGGGAGGCCCCTGAATTCTCTCGAGGATGCTTTCCTTTTTTCTCTTTCCCCTTCCGGAACCTCGAGTAGTTAGTTGGGTGGTAAGTCTCCTGGAACAATCCCCTGTACCCCTGATTTTCTTTTCCATTCCCTATTTTCCTTTTCTTTGTCTTCTGCTCAACCGCACGTGAGACTGCCTTCAACGTGTGCTCTAACCTTTCCACCGGGTTTTGCATCGTTTCTGGAAGTGTGCCCTGGAGTGAGAGGGTGAACCCAGCTGGAAGCTGGGAGCAGAGAAGGAGTCTCGGCGCTGGGCTTCCGGATGGTGCGCGGAGCGGCGCCCGTCGGGGCTCGAGGCTTGGCACCGCGGGTCCCCCGCCTCGCCAGCCTCTGTCCCCAGCGAGTCTCCTTCCTGCGGGGCCTGCAGGGAAGAGGCGGAGCCCCGGGTGCCAGCGGGGGTCCCTGTGCTCAGCGCTCACCATGAAGGTGCTCACCGATGCCCCAGTCCTGTTAAACTCCCTGCGTCCTCCACTGGCTGCGGTCCCCTGCCTGGGCCTCTGGATGATGTTCTCCAGAGAGGAACGCTCCAGTCGGCCCCCACTGGTTGGGGGCTCGGGTGGTCAGTCCCCTCTGAGGCCAGGAACCCCCGCTCTGGCGTTCTGAGGGCGCTCCCCCCACAGGGGGCCTGCCGACCTGGGCCTCCCTGGTCTCTGCTCCAGCTCTAGATCCGTCACGACCAACGGCCGGGCCTCCCCTATAACCGCCAGCTTGCACCAGCACCCTGCAGTTTAGTGCTCCCCATGGAAAAATAAAAACCAACTCTATTTTTCCTCGAGAGCTCCTGGGGCTGGGCAGCCACAGGCATCAGCTCCGTGAGGCTTCGGCGCGAGGCGGAGACCACGCTGGGGCAGCGCCCGCCCTGCACCAGAACAGGCCAGCGCGCGCACTCCGGCCAGACCTGGCCTGCTGGGCAGAGATGAACAGAGAAAATTCCCGAAATAGTCCTCTGCAGGCTAAAAATAAAAAGCCGTCATTAACACCTGGTGTGTGTTCTTCTCCACTGTCTCTTCACCTCAGTCAGACTTCACCTCCACCCAGTGCACACCGCCTCCCCAGACTACACGTTTTCAAAGAGTCGCTCTCTGGCAGAAAGTCTAGGGTCCAGCCACACACGGGGGCGTGGCCTCCCAGCCAGCGTCCCGCCTGAGGGGGCATTTCCCGCAGCTGCTCGGATCCTCGCCTGCGAGGTTCCCCCCAGGCTCCTCCGAGCTGTCTCTGCAGGTACCAGAGAGAACCCTGGCGGTGATGGGTGGGGGTGTGGGTGGTTGCTGGAAAGGTCTGCCCTGAAACGCCCTCTCCCCACCCCCACCCCGGCAAGCCACCGTGGGGGACAGCAGGGCGCGAGGTGGGGCTACTTGGGGAAACCTGCTCTGCGGCCTCCACCTCACGGCAAGGCGGTGTTTCCGAGTAAAGCTCAGGAGAGCAATTCAGGCGGGGCCCGCTGTGCTGTCAGCTCACAGGGCCCCAGTGGGGAGACCTGGTCCCTCGAAC